AGGATCGAGGTTCATTGGACAATTTTTTTTTTTTAAACTAACAGAAACATCAAAAACTGTCAGGTATAAAACGAACAGCACCGAGCGCCGCTCCCACAGCATGTGACCGAGGGTGGGCAGGATCATTAACCTCATTTCACAGATGCGGAAGTTGAGGCACAGAGCAAGAAGCGACTTGCCCAAGATGCTAGGACCAGGCCTCCTGGATACCAGGCCATGCTTTACCACGAGGCCACACAGCCTCCCCGTTGCTCAGATTTCCATAGGGACACCTACACGGCCATGTTGTAATTATTCTGCTCAGCACTGGGGTCCCCTCGGGCGCCCCAACACCGCAATTCCGTTTTCAGGCGTGAGGCGTGCCGACTCAGACCCAGAGACCCTAGTCTGGCCTCCTGCATGTCCAGGACCACACCCCCACATGCCTGTACCAGACCCCGAACCTCTGGCTGTGTCACTGACATCCTCAGATCCTGGTTTCAAGACTCCAAGTTACAGAGAATCCACCATTGACACTAGTTGAAACCTGCAAGTGCCCCACGCTGCAGAGGAAGGCGAACCCCCCCCCCGCCCACCACCACCAGGGTCTCTGCAAACCTGACCAGGAGGGAAATTCCTTCCTGACCCCAAATCTGGGGATCAGTTAGACCCTGAGCATGTGGGTGAGACCCACCAGCCAGACACTCAGGAAAGAATTCTCTGTCGTAACTCAGAGCCCTCCCCAGCCAGCGTCCCGTCCCCGGCCGGTGGAGATATTTGCTAATAGTTGCAGATCGGCTGCATGCCATTGTGGGCAGTCCCATCAGACCGTCCCCACCATAGACTTAGGTTTTGAGCCCCCCAGCTCCCCTTGGCTGGCTGTTCACTCAGGTTACCCAGATGAGCCACTGGGGCAGAGGGGCCTGCTCCAGTGTATAGTGTCTAGTTCCCATTGGGCTCGCAGGAGCAGGTCAGGGCCCCGCTGACCCCAGGCAGCTCGCAAGCGAAAGCCTGTGGGCCCGAGGGTTTCATTTCAAAGCTAACAAGAGGGGCTGGTTCTTTAAACCATGAAGTCAAATATCTCTGGGGCCGCTTCCCAGAGCTCTACCAGCCCACACCAAGCGCCATGGGGCCCTGGCCCACGAATGGGGCTCCTGGGTGCTACTATAATAGACCTAAATAATGCACAGCGCCTAGCACCATGGGGCCCTGGCCCATGACTGGGGTTCATAGCTACGTCTATCCTACACACTAAAGGCTGGGCTCTGACTCAGGTTTGAGCCAAGTCCCACTTCCGTCCACATACAAATCAGTCTGGCTCAGGACCCAGGTCCTAGGACCTGCTGGAGCAGGGGAGTGGGGTCTGAACCGAGTCCCACTGTGATTTAGGTCCCAGCCCTGTCATTTCGCAGTGCGGACGCAGACCCGAGACAGAGGCGTGGATGCAGCGGTGTGGCTGGGAGCCGCGGTTCCAGCAAGCGTTAACCCAGGCGGGTGATGCAGTGCGGACGGACGACCCAGCACGGGCTCGGAAGCACCGAATCCACAGAGCCGGGTTCCCAAAGCCGTGTGGACATCCCAGGAGGCGCCACCCTCGTGCTAACGGACAACGAGGATCCCAGAAGAAGTGCCAGGAGGGCAGAGAGAGGTAAGAAACAGGCTCAGGGCGCAGACTGGCCTGAGCCGTCACAGGTCAAAGCTCCTGGAGGGGTCACGCTCTAGAAACGAGGAACCGCAGGAGAACGAGAGCGAGACGCGCCCCAGAACAGGAGCCAGGACCTTGCCTGGGAGGGGGAGACCCGGGGCCACGTCCGAGGGCTTGTCTACACGTCCCGTGCAGCTGTGGTGTGTAGAGAAGACACTACCCACCCCAACGGGAAATCGGCGCGGTGAATTCACCGCCGCGAGAGGTGGGAGCTGTGCTGCTCACAGAAGTGCTCCTGCCAACAGAGCGCTGTCTACACTAGGTTGGTCTAACTGCATGGCTCAGGGATGTATGTTTCCCGTAGCGATGTAGTTACACCGACATAAATCTGTAGCGTAGACCACGCCGGAGTCTCCCCCATGCCCGGTACGTGCCCTGACCCCTGGGTTACTGTGTGGTCGCTTCCTCCCCCCAGTCCCCGAACATGGAATGGAAACAAATTTCAAAACCTCAACATTTCCCACAAAATGGAGATTTTCTCCGACCAGCCCCGGTACTGACCCACCTGCTTTACGGCTTACACCAACCTCTTAGCGAGCCGGATGAGCCCAGAGTAGGGGACAGATTATCCCATGTAGGCTAAAGGCAGGATCTTACATCGTCCTCTAAAGCATCTGGTGCTGGCCCCCGTTGGAGACAGGACGCTAGGTGGCCCTGGAGTCTGAGCTGAGTTCCTGTCCACTCGAGATATTAGTTCTAGCTCGACCACAAGATATGGGCTGGGTGCAGGAACAGCAAGATCCTTTGGCCTCTGCTAGGCAGGATTATCTGGCCTTAAAAGTCTATGAAGCTATTAGTCGTGGTAGTTTTATGTAACAGCTAGAAACTCCGCACCCGGATCAGAGCCTCATCAACCTGGGCTGCCCAAAACAAAACAGTACCAGCCACCAAGCCACTGGACCCCTTTAAATACGCAAAATCAGTAAGTAGCATGTCTCAGCCCAAGAAATGGCCTAAATCGCAGAGCTCCCGGCAGAGTATTTCCACTCGTTCGAGATGAGTAACTCAGACGGTCAGCAAATTATGAGGCAAAAATTCCCCTAACTTCAGGGAAGACGTATTCTGACTCCCCGCGTCCCCAGCTGCATTACAGACGTCGGGGGTGGGGCTGTTTTGTGGCTGAGAACTGCCCACGTGGGGTGGAGTGGCTGCGTCTTCGGGCGGACCGTGTCCCCCAAAGATCCCGACTGGAAACCCAGTTCCAGATCCCGACTGGAAACCCAGATCTACAAAATCCCTGGACGACGCACTCGCACCCAGCAGCTCCTCCGCAAGGCCACCCACCACTCCAACGACAGTGTGGTGGTGTGCACCACAAACTCGCCCGCCTTGTTGCTTCCCCCCCCCTCCGCCCCACGAACGGTCACACACAGACTCACCCGCACGATCCCCGTGCACGACCCCCGTGCACGACCATCGCACGCGCGCCACCACGGACCCACCAGAGCAAACTCACCAGCACGTCATCAGACTCACCGCCTCACACATCCGTACGGGATCTAGGTTACAGGCGCGCACCGCGGCCCCGAACGCACGCCGGACACCCAGCAGCACTTACAGGGAGACGCACCGGGCGGGCAAAGACAGACGCCAAAAGCACCCAAAGCGCGTGCCGACACCCCCCCGGACGCTCCCGCCGACAGAAAAGGCTGGCTCAAGTACGCCGCGGACAACACAGGCTCTGATCCCCCAGGCTCGCCCACGCGAACCCGCCACGGGCCCACACGCTCCCCTGGAGAAAGTTCAGTGGGGTGGCAAGTGACAGATCTCGCACGCACAAAGGAATGATTTTAAATCTGCACAGCTGGCTTCTCGGAGCCCTCCACTTTCCTCCCCATCTCCTGCGGTAGTGACATTGGCGGCCTGACTCGGCGTGGACCCTAGGGGTGGGGGTGGGGGTGGGGGGTGCGGACACTCGGGGTGGGTGACGGGGCCTGTCAGTCATGGCTTCTGGATGGGGAGTTCAGCCTGGCTGGCTGGAGCTGCAGACTCATCTCCAATGCTCAGGACATTAATGTCACGGGGACAAGAGGGGGTGGGGGGAATCCAAGGCATGGTCTGCAGAAGGGAGCCCCGAAAGGGCAGGGAGAGGTCTGGATTACAGAACCTCTGGGTGTAATCTGGGGTCCGGGGGGGGGGGGGGTCAAAGAACATGGGGGTGGTATTGGAGGCCCCCTGGTGCTGCATGAATCCCCGCCCCATGGGACCGAAAGAGGCCAGCTGGTATGCGCTGCTATGGGGGGGGGGGTAAGGGCACAAGGGTTCTGCCCACCGGGTTGGCGCTGTGGGAGAAGAGGCTTGTGAAGGGCAGAGGGTCTCGCTGGGACTCAGAGACATGAGAATTCACCCGCCTGCCCCCCCCCCGCGCCCCAGTCTGCTCTGCAGACAAGGAAACTGAGGCACAGAGGCTTGTCCCCCCCCCCCCCCCCCCCACAAGGTCACACCGCCAGCCAGTGGCAGAGTTGGGACTAGAACCCAGGAGTCCTGCTCCCCCAGCCCCAGGCCCCACTGTGTTAACCACCAGGCTACACTTTCCTCCCAGAGCTGGGCATAGAACCCAGGAGTCCTGGCTCCCCGTCACCCCCCACTCTAACTCACGAGACCCCACTCCAAATCCCAAATCTAATCCCAGCAAGACCCTAAACCCCCTAACTCTGACCCCAATGCCCAATAACACCCCCCTCGCGTTCTGCCTGGCACAAGGGGGACACAGCCCCTCCCCGACCCCTTCCACAGCGCCCCCCAGCTAGCCCCAGAGCCAGCCATAGCCAGAGGGAGGTGGGGAGCAGACGGGGGTTCCCCCGCTTGGCACCCACGTGCCTCCGTCCATGGGAATCTGGTGCCAGGCCTGGCCTGCCTGGGCTATTCACCCACCAATCAAACCCGTCTCCCCGAACACGGGGACCTCGCTCTGCCCCTGAACCCCGAGATGGAGGTCAGACCCCGCCACCCCCCAGCCCACCCCCACACTCCGGGGCTGGGGGTGGGGGGGACGCGGACGCAGCTCAGCTGGGCCCGGGCGCGGGGGGCGGGGGGGGGGGTGCCCGGAAAAGCGATTCGAGCAGCGCGGCGGGGCGGGGGGGGGGCCCAGATCTTCACCCTGGGCGGTGCTGCGAGGGGGGCGATGTGGGGGGGGGGGCTCAACTTCCCCAAGCACAAAGGCTAACTCGGACTGGCCTGAGCCGGGCCCCGCGGCTCCCTGGGGGGGTGCAGGGAGCGCGGGGGCCTGGGACCCCCCCACTTCTCCCCTCCCGGGGAGCCAAGGGCATTGGGGCGCGCTGGGGCGGGGGGGGCCAGGCGGAGCCGCTTTCCCTACCTTCTTGCTGGTCTTATTGTAGCCAAATGTGGCGATGGCGGCCCGGGGCTGGACGGAAAGTAACATTTTCCTGCCTAATGTTACGGGCCTGGGAACGGGGCGGGGGGGGCCGCTGGAGGGGGGGGGAGACGGGGCTGCTGGCTGACGTCACACCCAGGGAAGCCAGCCTGGAATCCGGGGCTGGGATGACAACTTTCCACTGGGTCCTAGCGCCCCGGGGAAGGAGCGGCGCCCGAGGGAGGGGCTGGTTCTCCTCCCCGACGGGGCGGGGCGGGGGAGGGGATCCCCAGCCCGCAAAGGGACCCAGTGAGGATCCTTCTAGTCTGACCTCCTGCACAGCACCGAGCACCGGCCCCCCGAAATAATGCCGGCCCCGGGGGCAACCAGCCCAAAGAATCAGTAGCCACTCGGCCCCGGGGGGGTGGCTGGGGTGTTGCCGAAGTTCTTGGTGTTGGGGGGACGGGTGTGGCCCTGGTTTCGGCTTTAGGAGAGTCGCAGGGAGAAATCAGGGTCCACCCGCGTGCCAGGCGCTGCACGCACCCAGCTGCGGGAAGCCGGGCCCGGCGGCAGGGTGCGGAGGCGCAGGCCGGCGTTCGGGGCGCTGGGCCCGGTGCCGCGTCTCCGGCTGGCCGCCCCGCGCTACTCGGGGAACTAGGGTGACCAGACAGCAAATGTGAAAAATCGGGATGGGTGGTGGGGGGGTAAGAGGAGCCTAGATAAGAAAAAGACCCCAAAATCGGGACTGTCCCTATAAAATCAGGACATCGGTCACCCTACAGGGAACAGCCCCGCTGAGCAGGCCCAGACCCCCGGGAAGGCCTCTCACCCCTGCTCCAGCCAGCCCCCCTATTCCTGGCAGACCTTGGGGCATTGGGGCCTGCACTGACTGCCAGGGGAGAGCCTGGCCCCACTCCCTGGAGCAGAGCACCCCCTAGTGGTGCATGGGGCACTGACTGCCGAGGGAGAGCGCCCCCTACTGAGCCCCCGACTCATCTCCCATCCATGTGCTTCCGGACAAAGTAGCCCAGCACTTGCCCTGGGCAGGGCTGTCACCTGGGGCCTGGTGAGGGGCAGGTGGGTGCAGGGCAGCACCCCCTGCTGGCCAGCACTGGCGGGGGTGGTTAGACAGAGGGCAGCCCCAGCCTAACATCCCTGGGAGGGGGCATGGTCTCCAGCTGGGGGGATATTCCTGGCAGGAACGGGGTCACCCTGGGGCCACCCACACCCTAGGAACTGTGTGAGCCAGTCTCAGCATCATCCCCCCAGGCCAGGAGGGGCTGTGTGAGCCAGTCTCAGCGTCGCCCCCTCTGGGTGGGGTCGTGCCACGCTGCCCCGTCTGGGTGTTCCCTTGTGTGTCTTTCACATGAGTCACCGAGGGATGGGGAACGCTCGGGGCCATGGGGCCCCCAGCCCCCTGCTCTCTGTACTCGGGGATCACGAGGCCCCACCCAGGCCCAGACATCCAGAGACGAGGCGGGCGGGGACACCCAACTCAGGATGGGGACAGACTTAACCCTTCCCGTGCTGCGTGTTACCTAGCTGCTCCGTGTGTCCCTCCCCGGGGGCTCATGGTCCCACCCCCAGCGCCTCCCTTTGCCAAGGATCCGGCTGCAGCCATCAGCATCCCCTGGAGTTCAGGGCGGGGGGGGGGGGTGATCTATGGACCAGATCCCCCTCCCCTGACTTCTCAGGAATAACCTGGTCAGCCCAGCGGCCATCACCCTGAGTCTCCTTCAGGCCTACTCCGGGCTCAACTCCAGTCCCGGCTGTCCCCAGTCCAGAGCTCCCATACGGCCCCCTTCCCCGCTGTCTGGGGTAGGGGTCCCCTGCATTGCCCTCTGCCCAGTGCCGAGCAGGGCCTGGACCCCTGACTGGGGCCGCTGGATGCTGCCAGAACACATCACAGAGTGCACTTGTGGGGCAGGCCTGGAAAATCTGGCCCTGTCATCTCTCTGCAGTTGTGATGCCAGGATGGCCCAAGCTGAGAGGACTGGCTGGGGCAAAGGGGGCAGGGACTGGGACACGGGGCCTTTCCCCTAGGGGCGCCAGCTCTGATCCGGCCCCAGGGTGGGAACTGGCTGGCTGGGGGGAGGGTCGGGGGGGACGGGAATGGGACATGGGGCCTTTCCCCTCTAGGGTGTGCTGGCCCCAAGGCAGCTGGCTCAGGAGGTGAGGAATTGGGCCGATCACACTGAGCTGCTGGGGGAACTGAGAAAAAACAGCAGCCCCCTGCCCAGCTTCACCCTGGAGCAAGCTGGTCCCCAGTCCACACCCATCCCTGCTCGCTGGGAGATCCTGGGCGGGGGAGGCAGGCTGGGAGCCCCCCTGCAGAACAGAACACAAGGGGCTCCCCCCGGGACAGGGCACCCACCCCAGCTCCTTTCACCTGGAGGAGCTTTACGGGCTCAGGGTGAGGTTTCATGGGGCAGTTGATTCCAGGTATTTGGGGTTGGATGCCCCCCCTCTCTCCTGCAAGGGGGGGGTGTCTCTGGGGCTGGGGCCTGGAGGTGAGAGAAACATCATGCCAAGGGGAGGGGATGTAGAACCCAGCCCAGGCCCAGCTCCAGGGCTGGAACAAACAAAGGGCCCAGCTGCGGATGCTGCTCTGGGGAGGGGAGGGGGGCAGGGAGCCCTGGGGAGGGAGCAGCCGGGTCCCAGGGGAGCTGAGCTGCAGCGAAGAGAGGCAATTAGAGCCAGATGCCTGGCAGGGTGAGCTGGGAAGGAGAGAGAGAAAAGTATATAGGTGTGGAAACGGATGGCTAGCGGGGAGGGATGGGAGGATGGATAGAGAGTGGGGTGACGGATAAAGTCGGGGGGGACGGAAATAGGGGTGTAGATGGAGGGATAGACAGGTGAATTAGAGGGTTGGATGGAAAGCTCTTCCCCAAGGGCAGGGAATCAGCAACCCTTAGCTGACAGATGGGGAAACTGAGGTACGGAGTGGCCTGAGAGATTGGCTCCCCAAACCTCATCCAGTGAGTCTGTGACAGAAGGGAAGAAGTCAGGAATCCCATCTCCCTCTGCTCTTAGCACTAGGTCACAGACTCTTTGCTCCTCGCTATGGAGTAGCGGGGTGACAGCAGCCGCCTCCTCTCGCTCTGCAGCTCCACTTTGAGCCCTCTGGGGAGCTGGGGGGCCAGGCCTAGGACCAGCCCCTGTTACAGTCACAGATGCCTCCTGCAGGGTAACCAGTCTCCAGCCCAGGCCACCAGGGACTAGATCCCAGGCCGGGATTTCCCTGCAGCTGCAGCAGGTGAAAGGCCAGGGCCCCACCCAGTCTGCAGCAGAGGCAGGTAGAGGCTCTCTCCCGCCCTCCCGAGGAGCGAGGAGGAAAACGTGGCCTGGAGTCGGAGGGTGGGCTCAAGCCCCCAAAGCGGATCTGGGATGCCTCGGGGCCTGGAGGACAGACAGATGGGGTAGGGGAGACAGGAGAATGCCCACGGGGCAGAACGGGCCAGGAGGTGGTGCTCCGAAATTGGGCCTTGGAAAGAAAGCAACTCAGAAAAATGCATGCAAATGTATGTGCCTGTTAGAACATGCCCCTCGGTGTGGCCCTCTCAGACCCCCCACTTTGGAGCATCCCCCCCCCCCCCCACCAACCCAGGTGGGACGGCAGGACTGTCTGCCCCTTCCCTAGCTAGGCCCCAGGAAGATGGCACAAGGAGTGGGGGGCTGCCTGGGGTCAGCAGCGCATTCCTGGGCTCCCTACGCAGCTGGCCGGAGCCGGGAAACCGGATCTCCCTACACACACCAGGCCGGACCCTGAGCCAAGGGCCGGATTGTTTGTGAATTCCTCGCATAGCTCCCGGGCGAGGGGGGGCAGGGAAGAGGAAGGAGCTGACTGGGATCCGGGAGGCCCCCTAAGGGGAGGCGGGATGGGGAGCCCCCCCACAACACAGAATGCCGGGATGCCCAGCTCTCTGTCCCCAGTTGCCCCCCCCGAATAAGGCCTGGCCTGCTTTCTGGGGCATGAGGGGGGGGCTTTAAACCCCATCAGGGCTGCATAGGGTCACACGCCCCCCCAGCCTTAGCTCAAGAGCTGATGGTGCGGGAGGCCACGTGGTCCCTGGGTGACCTAGGAGCAGGGGGCCTGCTCCAGTCCTCAGGCGAAGCCAGGGGGGTTCCCCAAATGGCCTAACAAAGTGGGGGAGAGGTTGGATCTATTTGCTACAGGAGCCCCAAAGATCAAGCCCAATTGGTCCTCAAGCTGCTGGCAGACTGGGGGCGGGGGGACTGTGCCGGGGGAGTCAGGCTCTGCAGATTCCCCCTCTCCTTCTCTCCAATCTGCAGAGGGAGGACATGTGTGTGGAGGGGGTGGGGGGGGAGATGGAGCCAGGGCAGCAGCAGGTGCCTTGTTGTGGGGGGGCTCAGGCTTTGGGACCCAGCTGGGGCATGGCCTCCCAGGGGGAGGAAACAGGCCGGAGTGGCCTCTGCTGTCGTCATGGCCTCCGGGTTTTGCAGCCGTTGGGCCGCGCTCCCTGCAGATGTGCTGGAGGCCGGCCAGCCATTCAGCAGGGGCCTGGCCGGGCAGGGAACATGTGGCCAGAGTGCAGGCCGAGCTCCAGCAAGGCCAACCCGGGGGGGGGGAATGCCCTCTGCAGTGTCCCCCTCTGGCCGAGGCAGGGAACTGCACTGACGGGCACCCATGGGCTTACCCATGGCTTGGGGTGGGGGGGTTACCGTGGGAACCTTGGGGCTACAGCAGGGTCAGAGCGAATCCCCCTGCACCCAGCCCCAAACCCATGGTCTCCCCTGATGGGATGGGGGCCCATTGACACACGCCCTGCCAGGGGTCCAGAGCTGGGATTGCAGCCTGAGTCCATTCCAGATGGGCCCATTATGGAAAGGATTCCAGTCCAGGATTTCCCTGCCACCATGCCAGGCGGAGCCTAGAATCCAAACTCCACCCCCCTCCTGAGCCCGTAAATTCTCTGAGAGAGGGGAGGGGGGAAGATCCAACCTGGATCCTGGCACCCAGCTGGAATGGACTCTGCAGGACCATCCCAAAGGAGCCTAGGACATCAGCTCTGTTCTGTGGATGTGCTCATCCGCCATCAGGAGAGGCAGCGTGGGCCAGTGCGTAGGGCACTAGATAGGCCTCAGGACTCCTGGGTTCTACTCCCAGCGCTACCACTG